GAAGACTGCGGAGTTAGCAGCTCTTCGTCGGATGTTGTAGATAACATCGGAGCTCCAAAGGAGCAGACAGTGAGGGTGATACCGGACAACGCGGAGTGTGTGTTCACCCTGGTTTCACCGAGAGATAGAACCTTTGTACAGAGGCGACTGCGACGCTGTATGCTGGCTGCAAGACGCCGGACGTCGATCCTGATCCAGGGTGTGTCTACCGTAGACGATGGTGCACAGTTATACACCCTCGTCATTGGTATGACGGGGGAGGAAGATGGCGCCGTCCGCCTCGAGGCTATGCCTGCGTTAGATGCTCTTCTTGAGCTGGACGAGAAGTCCCTTGAAGATTTCGGCAGTGCCTTGAAGGCAGGCGATTTGTCCGACGTGGTCATTGTACGACTGGACGAGGAGATAAACTTGCCATCGCTTCTGGGTGAAGCTGTCTTGGAAGACACCAAAAGAGTGCTGAACTCACGGATTGGATCGTCAATTCTACGGGATCCCTTGGATTCGTATTATCCTTTGGTAAGGGAATTTCACGACGTCGTCTCCAAAGACCCGCCTTCGATCCAACCCCCGGACCGAGGTGTGCGTCATAAGATCGACCTGGTTCCGGGAACTAAATACTGCGTAACACGCCGAAGTCCCCTGCTCAAGGAGCAGTGCGACGTCATTGACGCATTTTTTCCGTGCGAAGCTCGACGCAGGAATGGTACGTGAGAGCAAGTCTCCCCATTCGACACCCATGCTTTGTGTTCGGAAGCCGAACGGCAAATGGCGTATCGTTCATGCTTACAATAAGCTCAATGTTGCCACCATTTCGGCACAGACGCCAATTCCTAAAAAGGATGTTCTTCAGAACAGCATGGTGGGATGTACGAAGTACAGTACACTCGACTTGGTTGATGGTTAATACCAATCGCTCATGAGAGCGAGTGATATTCCTCTGTGACGCAATTGTTCAGGCCCCACCGGGCGTATGCACAAACATGCTTCAACGACGTCTACATCCACAGTAATAAGGGGTACGGGAGGATAGATGTGGAAAACCACATCGTTCATTTGAGAGCGGTGCTCGAGAGCATGCGCACGAATACGCTGTATGCTCATGCCGATTGGTGCATCTTCAGCGCGGACGAAATTTCCGTTTTAGGGAGCTTCATTGGGAAGCGTGGCCATCGAGCGGATCCCGCTAAGGTTAAGGCCATTGTGGTCTGGCCGGTTCTGAAGAACCAAAAGGACTTGCGCAAGGTGCTTGACCTCGCAAACTACTTGAACAAGTTTAGCGCAAATTATGCGAACATGGCACAGCATTTGTTGAATCTTCTTAAGAAGCATACGGAATGGTGTTGGGACACCAAGAGGCGGGAGACTTTTGAGAAGGTCAAAGACAGCCTCCTTCATGCAATTATACTGGCGTTACCAGATTCCGATCGTTCTTTTAGTGTCGCCTGTGAGGCTTCGGACTTTGTCATCGGCTGTGCACTGCCTTAAACAGGCACCAAGGGGCGAGATCGGGTGATCGCGTTCTAACTTTGCCAACTGAAGGCTGCGGAACTACCCAGTTCATGACTTGCGATGAAGTATGTACTTGTCAAGTTCAGGGTGCAGCTGCTTGGCTTAAAGCCGTTTGTGATCTACACAAATCATGCGACATTAGTCACTGCAACTCAGTCACCTCACCTCTTGCAGAGAATGGCCAGGTGGCTTTCATTCTTTGCGGAATAAAACTTCGGGGTGAAGTATAAGCCAGCAAAGCATTCTGCTTTGAATGATGTGTTGTTACGCAGACAAGACTATGAGCTTGCTCATATCACGACGGTGATGTTGTCAGTGACGGATTTGATCCGCGTCGCATACACGGGTGATAGTATGTGTGAAGCGCTGCTACAGGCTGTCGGGAGCAAGGGGTTTGTAAATTCGAACAAGAAATTGTCGGCGTTTGCACGCACGGTTACACCGATATTCGTTTAGTAACGGGTTGCTATATTATAGCATCACTTCAACGGATATACCACGAATTGTGGTTCCTCATGGTAAGAATTTGAAGTACTGTATCCTCTACGAGGCCCTCGACATCTTGATATTGAAAGTACGTACAGCTCCAAGACCTGCTACTATTGGTGGCCCAAGCTGTACAAATCGGCGAGCTCATATATTCACACGTGTGACACGTGTCAAAGGGTGAAACCCTCTTCGAATGCGGCGGCGCCGCTGTTCAGTTTACCGGTACCCTTCGGGTGTTTGCGGTCGATGAGAATGGACTTTGTTTGGCCTGCCAAAGGACTCAGCAGGCAGCACGGGTGTTGTGGTCTTTGTTTACCGTTTGTGCAAGATGACTCATGCTGTGGTGGTGCCGGACACCATCGACGGTGTGGGGACAGCAACGCTGTTTTTCGATCATGTCTCAGTACGGACTCCCGGAGTTAATTTTATCTCATAGAGACCCACGCTTCACTGTGCAGTTTTGGTTCTCAGTCTTCCGGGAGCTGGGCACCAAGTTGGCTATGTCAACAAAGGACTATTCGCAGATCGATTGTCAGACTTAGCGAGTGAATCGCGTCGTTAGAGGCATTTTTTTGCTGCTTCTGCGCTGAGACGCCGAAGCGCTGAAGCGCCATGTTGCCATTCGTAGAGTATGATCTGAACAATGCAGAGCATTCATCTACTTGCTCAACGCCGTTCTCCGCGAACGGGCTTGTTAATCTTCGCATCCCGCTGATGCTGTCATCCCATGGCTCAGAGCTAGCTAATGTCAGCCCCCACACCATCCGCGAAGAAGTCGATGACTTCCTGTCTACCAGACTAAGTGTCCTACTTCACGTTTGCGATGCGATTACTGAAAGCCAAAACATGCAGAAAAGAATAGGTAGATGGAAGAAGCATAAGAAAAGTGGACAACTTTGAGGTCGGAGACCTGGTTTAAAAGCTTTTTACACATGCAAATTCAGCTGTCTTTAAGACAAAGCTTCGTCCACTGTTTTTCTGGACCGTTTACGGTTGTGGCCAAGCGAGGCCTTGCGTATACGCCGAACCTTTCAAGAAGGATGCGCACCCACCCGGTGTATTATGGGGGCTTGCTGAAGTCGTACCAGGGTCCGGTGTAAGTAATCGCGGATGCGTTGTCGCCGGGGTGGCACCCAAAGGCGCTCGGCCACCCGGAAGCTAAACCAGCGACTAGTTCTGAGCAGGCGCAAGGTGCTCCACCATCGCACGAAATGACGTGTTCGTCTGCTCGACGGTAAGAGCCGCTCCGACAGGTCGGGAAAATCCTTATGTAAGGCAGCCTGTGCACAGAGTGCTTCAAGGTCTCGAGGTCTTCTGCACAGCGGTAGGTGACCTCTAAAAAATGCTCGGCGGAGTGCCGGTGACGACGGTCTTTGTCCTTCAATGCTTGAAGAGCATCGCGAGTCACTAAACGGGGATTGACCAAGTCGTCATCATTAGCCGCCGACTCTGCTTGATGAGAATGGTGATCTCCACAATCACAAGCAACGCCTTGTGGGTCGACGTCGTAGACAGGGTTACACCCAATGGCCTATGAAGTGGCGTGAATACCCAAACTTCGACAGCTCGTGGGTGTTTGAGGTGCCACTTCGGCAAGACTGCTCAGACGTCGTTGAAACTTATGATCAAAAAAATCATGACGCTTTGCGTTGTCGTGTGTCCCGCGCTTCTTGGCAGTAGCCCACAAAGCCGGAAAGGCATGAGCTGAGCTCAAGCAAAATCCCTGAGCTGCTGTGGTCGTAGACTCACCCGTGTGCAAAAACACAAAGCTCGCAGGAGTGTAATGGATTGTTCTATATATCACAGGGCGACAATATGCAAGACGTCGTTTGGTAAACTCAGATCTAAGGTGGCGCTCTACGCGCACGTCCACTTCCTTATGGCTTCGCTGTCAGGGGACAGCGAGGAAATTTTCCGGAGATGCTGCATCCATCGCTCAAAGAGCTCCTCATCATCTGCGCGGTTTTGCCAGGCATGGGCATCACAGAAATAGTCCGCGTTGCGGATAAAGAAATGTCTCCTTTTTAAGCTCGAAGTCATACGCGGTACCCGTTCATTGGGGTTTCTTGTGGTACCGAAAAGCTTGCTCTGAGAGCTTTCCGCTTATCAAGCTCAGCTTGTATAGTGGCCGAAGGGCCGACTACGTAGACGTTTAGCGATCGAGTGTTTTGCTTCAGTAGCAAGATCCGCCGAGCGGAAGCCTTACTCCACACGAGGGTCTAGGAACGAATGTGAACAAGGCTGGTGTCTACGTGCATTACGCTACAACAAATTGCAACGTTCACAAATTCCTGGAGGCAACGGGAGTGCCAAATCGTTGCTTCAACTGCTTCATGAAAGACTACCAGAGTATAACATAAGGCCCCCAAGATATCTTGAAGTGAGGGTCAGGCGTATGGAAATCCAGTGGCTTCCCGACCGTACGGACGACCGCTGAAAACTCAGTTCTGAGACAAAAAATAGATCATGATTAGTAAAACGACACCCGACCGCTTTTCGAGTTGCTGCGAGAGTTATATCACAAAGAAGAGCTACGAGAAAGACGGGCAATAGTGCATGGCTGTGATGCTACGCGTGGAGCACCCAATCGGTTGATGTTTGACACGTTGACTGGTAACTAACTTCTGTGCTTCAGGCCAACGGACAGAACCCGAAGGCATATGTTGAAGCATCACGCAGCTCAAAATCTGAAGGTTGGCAAGCTTTGCCAGAAGAATTTTAGGCACTTGAGGACAGCAAAGTCTGGAACAAGATTAGGTTGGAACGTTGTCACGTTCTTAAAACATCGCCATATATAAACGGATCGGCGGAGGTGTCCGCGGCGCATGTTAAACGAACGAACATGGTCACAATCTTATTAAAACTCTTGAGATCTACCCAGCGGCATCTAATTACGAATATGTAGGCCAAGCCTTTTGCTCGTATTATCACACGAGCTACAAAAGATTTTGTACAGGCAAGATAGGCAAGATAAGCAAGTAGGTAAGAAGACAATGAAGTCAGATTCTGCAGTCGAGTCTCTTAATGCAGAATTTTATCAGTTTGTGAGTTGCATCAGCGATGCGGTTATTGAGTTGGATGTCTATTTCCATGATCTCTTAGATACGGCATCCATAGCTATAAGCGTCGATCAGTTTGTTGCGTACTTGCAATCATGAAGATAAGGCCGTAAAGAAGTTTTCTGTATTTGAGTTTAGCTTCTAGATAACGAAATAGCGATGGATAAGTTGCTTTAGGCTGCTCAGGTCAAGCGTCGGCAAACATCAATTGGTATGACTGCTGAAATGAAGTCATTTGAACAGCATTCCGCTTATAAAGTTGTATAAACTCGGAAGTCAACAAATACGTCTCTAAAGGCTACATTTAATAGTCAATCTACTGGTGTATCGATGGACGACCTAGTATTAATCATGACGCTTCTTCTTGGTCTTTTATGATGCGTTCTAGCCCAAAAAGCAAAAGTCAAATGTGTACGTACCCTCCCTGTCAAGACGTGAACTCGTTGCGATCGCAAATTCTCTTTTTGACTCATAACTTTAGGAAAAGCTTTCAAAGCTTCGATCGCTGTGGGCGATGTTCTTATCACTACTAAGCAAAGCGTATCGCTCACTGATCCGGCAACAATAACGGAGCTTCTCTGGCCAGAATCACGGCAGTCCTGTTTCGATTGGAGGTCAGGTCCTCTAATGAGATTATGTAGAGTGACTGACCAAATCCGGAAACAACTATCTGCACCTTCTTCATATATTACACGGTGATGACGTTCTTCGTCAATGCATCGATATAGTAATTGCCACATTTATTGCCCGTGTATTGTTTTGTAATTTTGGCAGCTTGAGTGATTTGTAATAATACGACACTTCAGCATACATCAGAATTTAATGCGGCTTCACCTAGTCGTGACCTGAACGCAATAATGCTAATTGCCAGTAATCCTTGGTGCTGAATACCACCTTGGGGTGAGAGCATCGATCCCTCGAGTACTGTACCTCATGTAGCACGACCTCCACAAGGTAAGACATAGAATATTTCTGTAGATCTCCTTGCACCTGATTAAAAATGATTTACTCTTTTTAAAGATGGTTTGACGATACTTCGGCAAACTCGTCACTATATGTTTTTCTGCCTAGATCGTTGGGATAGGTCGTAAAACGCAGATGCTGATACGGCAACATCTAAGTGAACCACTGGGCTGCTTTGCAGCTTAACAGTCATATTTTAGAGATAGCTTAGACTCACTACTTTGACGTGCTTGAAGAGCTATCACTTCCTGTACCCCAATCGGCCCTTGCAATACGGAAGCTGTACCTGATATTTAATGGTCATCAACCTAGGCCATGAAATCGGCTGGGTGTTCGCGCACCCTATTATACTATCAATGAAGATGATAACTGTCTCTAAGTGCAAATTTTAAACCATCTTAGGAATTGCAGTTCCTGATTTTCTGAGAATCTTTGCAAAGTCTCACTTGTTTCGACGAGTGAAGAAGAACTTTGTACGCCTGGATAGGCGGGTTAAACTCCCAAACTCCCAAACTCCCATGACATATTCTTATCGACTCCCCATGCATGAACGTCTATTTTAATGGTGGTACCTATTTGTCGATTGTACATCGCACGAAGAGGGTTTGGTGAGATAAAACGCGCGGCATCAGATCATGACCGCATATTTTACCATCTTAACATTTTCAATGCAGAATGACAGAGGTCTTCATTTACCTGCCCAAACAAAGCTGAACGCATAGATAAGCGTCTTTACGGAGGAAGGCAGTTGTGCATCCATCGACGCTTGGCTGGAGCGTTCCAAGGAGGGGCCTCTGCAGCATATTCGCATCGATTGTAACGGGTCGACGTGCACTTTACAAAAAAAAAAGCTTTGGCTCGCAAAGCCGCGTTTATAAACTCACAGAGAATGCAGCAAAAATCCATATGTTCATGGTAGATGATTTCTTGACTAACACATATTGTTCTATCAACTCTGATTCTGAAACTGTCTTTTTGTCAATGTGCGGCTCGCAGTAGACGCGTTCTTCAGACCACTCCTTTCCGCAATCCGTAATCTCCATAAAAATGGTATTCAGGTTCTTTTGGACATTTACAGATACACCAAGTGTAAGTGTATCTCGAAATTTTTTGTAATGGTATGAAAACATGTGTACCAAGATTAAGAACACAAGACTGCAATACTTGCCCATTTCACCCTTGACCACTAAAATATTGACCACATTATGCTCATAATCATATTGTTTTTTTATAACATGACTGCTCCATAGGCAACCATTGCGCCTTGAGTTCATCCTCACTCTCCACTTTTTACCGCGCCTGGTCTTACGAGCGTAATTGCACCGGGGTCTGCTTTGGTGTACCAAATCAAATGACCCAACAAACTCTACCAAAAAGCGGTCCTTTCGGCTGACGCGTTTGATGGTTTTCTTGCTGACGATGCGGAGGAGCTCTACATGAGACCGGGTCTAGCGACCATCCTCGAGTCTCGACCAATATCCTATACTCTCACTCTATGACGCACGATGTAGCCGGGTCTAAACGAAGAAGGTTTTGGTGTACTCAGCCTCCCCGCTCTATCTCGAAATTCGATCTCTTTTCACTGGCGGGAAGTGTTTCGGCATCTAGTGGTCGAAAGGTAGACGGCGTCTATCTTGTTACCAGAGAACAGAACCTAGCTCAAGCAAATTAGTTTGCTTTACGGCAATTGCAAGAGTCACGCCGTCTCTTGATCAAATCACGTCTTGATCACGCTATTAAGCCTTCGATATGCGCTCAACGCGGTGGTTCGGATCCACTCCACGTCTATGTATGTGGACCTCCCGCTCGATTCCTTAGCAACACAAGATCGAGAAGTGGATCCACAAGTGCGTTCATGACCCACATGCCATCATTCTCGAGAGATTCTCTCTCCGCTTGTAGCAAATACAGTTGGGAAACCCCGTATACCATGAGGAATGTACCTTGGATTTTAATCACTGCCATAGTGTAGCTGAACTTTATTTCTGTTTCTGTAACTATCATGAGGTTCAGATACTAGCTATCGAGAATCATACGTCTGCTTCGAGCATCAAAGTATGTCTAACTTTGCAAAGTTCAATGCACAACGCGAACGTCAAGGTGGCAGCCCATGACATTTCTCACTTCGGGAACCTGCTGTTTACACCCAGCTTCTTTTCATGAGAAAATGTAACAGCAACCGACGTAGGGTCCTCTTAACCGCAAAGTCAGTTACCATCCACGTGTGAGAAGCGCATATAAACGGGCGAACCTTCCAATATTAAGTGAGATAAAGTCCGAAATGCGTAAAGTTGAAAGCGATCATCGCATCAGGGTAATCCCTCCGAAGTACAAGGTCAAACTTCCTCAATTTTTCCGACTGAGGGAAACAATCTCACCTCAACAAGAATTGGTAACAGCTTTAGCGAACTGCCGGACAAGCCCAAGCAGTTCACCTAAGGGTTGGATGCCCCTTACACATTAAGAAGTGCCTGAGGAGGTCACCTCCCCCCTGCGGCTGGCTCTCGTGAGCTCTATCGGTTGTGACCTTATGTCAACACACTCTGAGAGTCACGGTGCGCGTCCGTGGCTGAGATCAGCCAGGTATTATATTTTCATTCTGGGCTGTGTCATTGCACCGACTGATTTGGGGTACCTTGCACAATACAAATTGTACCACTGCTAGCTATTCACCTCAGACCGGCTCGTAAAATATGGATCCTGATATGACTTCAGATAACACATAGAACGCTGGATGCGTGAATTTGATTAGGATATTCGGAGTATGACTCACCTGCATATATGAATGGCCAGATGTAGCACTGCCACAATACATCCTACAGACTTCGATCACTGCATGTGTATGTAGTTTTATTGCATTCAACTAGACCTGTATCCCCACAGCATATTCGGTGTGTTCTGTCTGCCTACGATTGCATCTGTTTATTTTCGCTCTCAGCCATAGCGTTGCTAACCCTGCGCATAACGTTCACTTGCGTCGTGATAGATTCACTGATTCTGCCGGGTTTGATCGACACCATCCCCAACTTACTTCATGGCGGTGTTTGACGCACCCGAGGGCTGACAAATCATTTATGAAAATGATACCAAAGCTGTAGAGGAACATTTGCGCTTTCGACGGCAATTACTTTCCAGTACCGCGGTATCTACGCTCAAGAGCTACAGAGGCTACCCTTGAAAAAATTAAGACCTTATGTCCAACGACATGCTTGCAAGTGGTCAGCGCTTTACAATCCAATCAAGTGTCAAGCACCTAATTAACTAGGCGTTCGATCCTTAGCATTGATTAATGAGTCATGATGTTCTACAGCACATCATTTCTAAGGATTGTCGCTCGCGCCCAGACTGTGTCTTCATTTAGCTTGTAATAAGCACGCTCGAATCGCTTCTCGTAATTTCCCTTACTGCCATCGAAAATTGGCGCATACCAAACTGGCTTCGGACGGAAGAAAATGTTATAACGTCAAACGGTTTCTCGACATGAGCCATCGCCGTTTGACACAACATTAACATCCGAAAACCAGGTCAAATTTAAAAGACACTCCTTTTATCGGGATTGATACGCGTCGTGGTTCTGTCGCACCACGCCGTGATACTTCCTTAAACAAGGGATAGGTAAGATTGAAAGAAATCTTTGAGAATAGCTGTCACACTCCTCGCACACAGTGTTCTATGAGTGTAATGCATGAAAATAACCCGAAACAAACAGTACCGTTTTATTGACTTTGGCGTCCTACGATACGTACAAATTACACCGAAGGATTCTTCTTCCAGCATTTTGGCGTTATTGATAAAGGCAGTGGAAGACTTTCAGTCATAAGGATACCCCAGATACTCCATTCACGAGTAAATTTTTTTGCCACTTACCCTTCATGCTAATTTGCTCCGCGCGGTGTGCCCGCGACACGGGAGTATTGACATAACAGTTCTGTCACATCGTGGCAAGAATGAACCATCCTTCTTACCTTCACAACAAAATCATTTAACTTGCGACATATTGTCACCCTTGAACTCCACTGGCTCTGACACAGGAGGCTGCGATACGCAGTCGCTTCCGGCTCATCGGCTTTGGGCGGAAGATAATAGCTTGCAGTTGTTCCTTATCGTCTCTTCAAGGCTACACTTCCATGAACCACGACATACAGTCGTACTTTCTTGTATTGACAGATACACACTTTAGAGACTAGAATATATAATTGCATCATCCTGAGATCTTGGATTACCGCCGCTTCTATCCCCCGAGCTCCGCTCGAGGTACCTAGCAGTATCACTGTATCGATTTTAGATAATCTCTTGTTCTGCACGAAAAGCAATCGCAGATACGTGCTCGTGCTAAATGCGCTTCTAATTTTTGACGGAAGATGGAGCATTACTCGCCAACGCTTCATCAGGAGAGAAGTTCGTGACCCCTACTTCTTTGGAGTGCCAATAGGTTGTAGGTTTGCTGTATTTCTAGTAATGTCATCTCTTGACTGACGTCCCATTTACAATCCAGCTTCAGAACAAGACCTCGTCCAAAGCTACTAAATCCCCGAGCTTTATTAACAGACTCATTGAAACTTTATCAGTACGCACGAAGTTTGCATCTGTATTTGGCATCATTCGTGGGTAACAGACCCTTTGTATATCTCATACGAGTGCTGAGGCGCAAGATGCAGATAGTTTGTACTACCGGAGATGTGTCGTCGTAGAGTCCCGCGAAGCTGCCTAGCAGCTATGAGCTCTCTCTTCTTCCCCAGCATGGCTGAGTTCCGTGGCTTCTGGCGCGCTCGTACAGCTTCCATTCCCAACACTCAATCCGGCCCTCGTGGTATGGTAAAATCTGCTTCACATTAAATGCGACACTCACCACTCCTTCAAATGAAGTTGGGTGGACGTAGAAGTATTAAAAAATACCCGTTTTGAGACCCTCCAATTTGAATGTAGTTGATGCCGCCTTCGAATTTGGATCAGATGCCATTGCGGCGATCAGAGTGCTTAACACTTGGATTTGTACTCTGGGTGCTTATGATTTGATGAGTGTTGATATAAATGTGTTGTTGAGCGAAGCAATAGGGTACATTACATGATAAATGACACTTTTACTATAATGTACTAAAAATAAGCCCAGATGTCAGCGCGTAAAGCGAGCTGTCTAACCAGCTTTTGTTACCTTGATGCTTGAGTGGTACGAAAAAAGCGCTTATTAATTATCATGTGTGCTGACATGCTTTTAATTGATAAGGTCACTGGAAGTGATGATGTTTGTAACGCGTGTGTGGGGTTGGTCGCAAATTGTTCTGCTTATTTTCCTATTGATTATGTACTTGAAAACTAGCTACATACATATATACCATGCATTTTTACTGGACTACGTGTTCTTAAGCTTCCAAAGAGAAAACCGATGAAAGGTCACGGCCTTTTTGTATTGATATCACATCTTCTGAAATCTTTTTGAGCCCGCTAAAGTTCTAACTGGTAATCTTTAACTCTTGAACCGTTATCCTGGGTAACTCGGTACACGTTATACCATCAAGACAATACTCATTACATTCTCCCCCTGATGTCTTGTTACATCTTTTTTGGCAGTCTTGTGTTTTAGCAGTTTTTGTTTAGCTTTCTGATCAATTACTTGAAATGAGAAAGAGGTTTTTAGATTCGTCTTCAGAGTCCATGTTGCTTGATATTATATATATTTATGCCATTTCACAAACTTATTTTGCTTGAGATTGACGCTTTGTTTCTTCAGTGTTGCTTCGAGGATAAACAACTCTTCACCAGTGTTCATCAAGAATGATTGCTGTAGCGTTTAGTATTGATATTGATTTAAATTGTTCTGGTTTTTCATGAAATGTTCAGTCTGTCCACATTGAACACATCATGCATTTTCTGCATTGACTTTGGCGACTTAAGCTTCATGGCGTTCTCATTGATGACCTGAGTGATTTCGAATGGTCCAATGAAACGCGGTACCACTTTTGGATTCTTATTCTTGTCATTGTCTGAGCATATTTCAATGGCAAGTTTCTGACCGCTAGTAATACCATATTTCCAAGTTTGAAAGTGACGTTCGATCGTTTCTTGTCATAGTAAGGTTTTCTGTCTGGCTTGAGCTCTCTCTAGACATTTTTGCGCAACCTTGTTTATCTTCTTGCGATGTTCTGCAAAGCTCAAACCGTACTCGTTTGTCAGT